TGGCACTCGAGTTGAACTCTATCGATGCTCGGAACCTAGCTGCGGCGCTTACGAGCGGTTTCCTCGGTACTCCGACGTGTGGCAGTTGCTGCAGACGAGACGGGGACGTGCAGGAGAGTGGGCCAACTGCTTCAGCATGTTCTGCAGAGCCCTCGGAGGCCGTGTGCGTTGGGTCTGGAATGCTGAGGATCATGTCTGGACTGAGGTCTATTCCGACCACCAGAAACGTTGGATTCACGTTGATGCTTGCGAAGAGGCATGGGACCAACCCCGTCTTTACACTGAGGGTATGTGCTTCATTGTACCGGTGCATATGAGTGATGCTAACGCAGATTGATATAGGTTGGGGCCGCAAGATCTCATACTGCGTTGCGTTCTCGATTGACGGAGCTACGGATGTCACCAGACGATATGTTCGAAGCCCGACGAGGCATGGCGCTCCACGGAACCGTGTGCCCGAGGAAGTTCTAGTTTGGTGTATCCACGAAATTCGGAAAAAGCGCCGCGAGAATTTGTCCAAGACAGACCAGCGACGCCTGATGAAGGAGGACGAACGCGAGGAGAAGGAGCTCCGTACCTACACCGCATCCGCCCTTGCAGCCGAGCTGAACAACCTTTTCCCTCGGAACACCACCAACAGCCGCTTGGAAGACCAGAAGACCCCCGCTTCCCGACAGGATGCCTCCGTCGAGTGGCTAAACAACAGACAAAGAACATCCGGCCAGTCAGGCCCAGATGGCTCGCAGGACGGCCGCTAAGGACGCGTTCCCTGAACTGTCCACCCCCCCCCTCAGCATATTGCATATACGAAGGCCTAGCGCTCTACGGTCGGCATGTACAGCAATCCGACCGATTGCCTTGCGGCTCCCATGCAAGATACAACAAACACGACCATATAAACTGGACTCGATGTATGAAACCGTCACATGAACGATGTACACGAAGGGTCCCACCTATTATAGGATTCAAACTGACGCACTGCATGGTTTGGCACTTATGCGGGCCTCACCATGTCACGTCTGCCGACTTCCGGGAATGATCCCGGTCAAGAATCGGGTCGTTGCCATAGGGCTCCTTTTAGGCCTGAGGCTGAAGTCTCAGGCCGTATGGAGATGCCTACAGATCATGTTCGCGATATACCGACCTGACCACCACACTTCATCTCTTGTGGATTCATCGAACTCCACCTATCGATCATTCATTTCCTATATGTCATTTGAGCTTCTCTTTCGACTACACATTTTGTCTAAAATGTACTTTCTTTTCTTTTTTCTTACCTTTCTTACTTCTTTGAATGATGCATTTTCAGGAGATTTAATCGGATACCTCATGGGGGAACGGTTATGGGAGGCGCATTTGTGACACGGAGTTGTCTTTATTTTTTACATAATGTCCTATAATTCTTCGCATCCTTGGCTCTTTGTGTTCAGAGACAGCGCACCCAGCATTGCGGCGGATCAGTCAATGCCATGTTTATGAGACAGATGTTTCGGTCGCATGTAGCCTAAGCAGGCAAAGCGGCAATTCCTATCTTTCTAGTTTAGTTCTGGCTCCTGGCGATCTCAGATACCGAATTGAACCTTTACCACCAAGACTTGTTGATATCGTAGCATGGCTCTGTCAGCACTAGATGTGTAGTACGTCACGACATGGTAGTTTGATTGTCACCAATACTTTCCCGCGTTCCCATCGCAGATTCTGCAGTGCCTCAACGAACCCTATGACGACTGGCTACCTCGAACCTTGGCTCCCAACAATGTGGACCGAATGTCTCTGATGTTCCAGACTCCAGACATACCAAGCGACAGGGGTACTGAGTCGAGTGAAATTAACTATACATACCATTTGGAACTCCGGCACGCAATGGAATGCTACGTTAGGGAACGGAGTTCACCGCCCCCAAGTCTCCGCGTGTCGGCATGGACAGCAATAATAACTACGGAGTGCGATTTCCACGGTGATTGTTGCTGTAGCCCTTTGACCCTTTGAGTTGGGCCCCCGGATCGTCCAATCCCGGGGTGGCAGTCCGTCTGTGAATCTCGCTCCCTAGTCTAGTCTATCTAGGCCAAAAGTTATGAGGATCAGAATCTAGTGTACAAGTCTTGAGGGTATCCAAGCTAGCTTGCCAAAACCCTGGGTGGTATTAGTGTACAGGGACCTTAACAGTCAGATCTGCTGGCTGCAGAACCGACCCTTCGGTCGCAGCATTGAAAGAAAGCAGGCCGGTATTTTCTGTACGGAGTAAATCCAGAACCTACCTTAGTTCCGAAGGCTCTTCCTCAGACTACCCGGTAGACCCTTAATCTCCGTGACCAAACTAGAAAACAGGAGAAACGGGAGAAGAAAAAGAGGGTCCACTGCAGCCCAGGTGTGGTCTCCACTTGTGGAAAACACAATACTAAAAAACTTGCACTTCCGGTCCACGTGATTGTTATCCCAGGATTCTGGGATTAGTCATGGGTTTGGGAACATGGACTTCTGGCTTCTATCAATTGAATGTGCTTTGCCTTGGGCATAGAGGGCAAGAGCCCAGGCGCATTCGGTAGCCTGATGCAGTGTGAAGACCAAGGGAGAGAGAGGGTGGGTTTTACGTATGCGGGTTCGGTTTATTGGGGCCCTGACCCTGATCCGGACCCGGACCCGGACCTGGGAAATGGATGTGAGACATTATTCAGGGGAAATCGGAACACACACTCTCTCTCTGTCTCTCTCACGGGGGTTATTCGTGCTCCGATCGGGGTTCTCTTTATCTTTTCTTGGGCTGGGTAGATGACATTGAGCGCGCTTGATTGTTAGGTTTGAGTTGAGGTGCAATTACTGCAATTACTACAGTACGTAGTATATTCTCATGTATATTCTGTGGTATAAAGTGTACCGGCGACATCGACCTTGAATCATTCGACATATATGAAGAACAGTGCTGAGCTCTCCTCAATGATCTAACTTCATGCAAACCGCGTCCTGGTTTGACATCCAGGCTTTCTAGAAATTTGCGCCGTGGGAATGGTGCCTGGCACGCGTTCCCTAGGCTCGCACCCCGCGCGCGCCGAGAGCGAGAGACTAAGAAGTGGTCGGAGCGATGGAGCCCACCTTCCCCTCCCCCCTGCTATATTTAGACGCGCCGAGCAGCCGGCCAGACGCGGCTACTTGATCGTGATCGACATCCAGCGGTCACCGCCATTGGGTGGTGGTGGTGTCATGTGGACGGGTGGATGGGTCCCGCTGGATCTTGAATTTTGATTCTCGAGGGGAGGGGGCTGGGGTACGTTCCTGATCTTCTGGCTGACTCCCTGGCTCGTTTTATAGGCTGTTCTTATGGATATTGAATTGAGAGTAGGTAGATAATGGTTTTTACATTGGTACTCCGTACCGTGAGTGGGTTTTGGTTGTAGCCTTGGAGCGTACGGGATAAGGGGAGGTGCTGAGGAATGCCCGCGGCGCTCATTGACATCGACCCGGACTAAGGAGTACGTAACCCTAATCTCAGGGTCTATAGCGCGTCCCCACCGGAGACCTATGTATCCACATGTGGGCCTACGCTACGAAGAGTGAAAAAAGAGAAACACAAAAAGGTCGTGCCCGGGATCGAACCGGGATTACAGGAATCAGAATCCTGGGTGCTAACCATTACACTACACAACCTGGTAGTTGTTCTTCTGCCAACTTATACTGAACATGTCTCTTCATTCTATTCAAGCCGTAGCAGTTCTCTTCATCAATATCTACCAGAACAGGGTTGGGGGGTTTTCGCGACATGTTTCAAGTGTCTAAGACATATAGATAATGCTCAAATATATTCACCTCCAATGTCAAGCATAGCTATCCGAGGTTTACCTGAGGATTTTTGTTCCACAAGTTACCTTATGTATGCTGCTTATGGATTTACTTCCTGTGATGGTATATAGGTAGCACGATCCAGCTCATTCGAGGTGTAAAAATAGGTGGGCAAAAGGCTGCATGTCAAATCATCTTCTATGCTGCAAACTAAATATGTCAATTCGGGGTAGCCTGTAGAAACAGGTAAATATCAATGTGGTCGCGTAATGTTCACGAAACGCAGCACCCCGACGCTAGCCAATCTCCCCTGGAGATAAAAAGATATGAAAACAGATCAGTGGCGAGATAGCAAAGCTATTGGATTGTGCACGAGAGAGAGAGAGAGAGAGAGAAATCGCATGGACAACGAGAACAAACTGCTGGGTAGATTATGTGGCTGTCACATTGCCAATGGTTTGGTCACAAAGCCGTTGGCTTCGCTCTTATCATCAATGTAATTGCCTATATCTGGGGTATGTTATTTCCGGCGAGGACCAGGCACCGGATGTTCCTGTAAGGCACTGATAGAGATACCTAGCAGAGACAATCGATCCCGCGGCTGCCCCTGGACCAGTCAGTCTCGTTTAATAAGTAGTGAGGTGACCAGTGCCATCTTATACAACTCAACTCGACTTGAGGGATACAATAGGATTGACCTAGGTGGACAATGGTTGATGCTCAGTTGGCAGATCGCATGCGGTCTTATCTCTCTATGAACCTACCTGATAGGCAAGACCACAAGCATAGTGATTGCTTCTAAGGTTCCTGTCGACAGCAGATTGAAATGATCTATTTCTAACTCTGAGATCTCTGAGCTAAAATCGTATGGCATGGAGAGACACGGAGTGCTGGTGCACGTGGGCTTGACTCCATCGCATCCGAGAGAATGGCCCTCAATTCTGCAGGTATTTTTTCTCAGCCCCAAAGCTTGACACTGAACACAACAACCGTGACACACATTGCTAGCAGCAAATGCCCTGTATCTCCACAGTCAGCGCGCTGAATCAAAGAGTCTATTATAGTAGAATGAGCTTACTGTGTATATCCATACTCTAAGGCACAGTACCGGCCCCACTCAACCTAGCAGCGAACGAACACACCAAGTGGGTCCATCCAACGGTCCCGCTTCTTTACGAATGCGAGCTTCCCTTTCCAGCTCAACTTCAGCATCATCCAGATAGGATATTCCCTGAAAGATGGTACCAACGATGATTTTGGCTGCGACTCACGCCGCCCCTAATCCAGAGAAGCAAGGGTTCTCCACTCTCGCAAACCACTATAAGAATTCAGACCCCTGCCATCCAACACGATGCAAACCACAATAACCTTGCAGATTAAATCATCTACTTCCAACAATGGCAGACCCCAAGCAGCAAAAGATCTATCGCGCCTGGCCCACGGACCCGCCAACCTACACCCAAACCAACAACGAGCAAGTCCGCAACATCACCCATAACAGAGACTGGAATTATTCCCTCTGCGACTGTTTCACCCCCGGCTCTTTATGTGGGTTCTTTGCCCTCGCCAGAGGAACCCCTTCAACCCTGATCCCAGGAGTGCAGAAAACAAACCACTAATACCCAAAACCCCCAGGCCTAACAAGCTGGTGTCTCCCATGCCTTACCTTCGGAAAGACGCAAGCGCGCATCCACGACCCGACGCTCCAGAACCTCAGCTACATCAACACTGACGTGAGTGACACAAAGACCACTAACGAGAAGGGCGTGCCTCTGCCTTCTCAACACCCTTCCTCGTCAACATATCCATCGCACCGTAGACTAACTATGTGAGCCACAGTGCGCCATCTTCACCTGCCTCGGCCTCAGTCTCTCCCAGTGGATCATCCAAACGATCCGGCGCGGCGAAATGCGCGAGCGCTTCGGCATCGAGGGCTCGTGCTGCGGCGACTGCTGCACGACCTTCTGTTGCGGGTGCTGCGCCCTCATTCAGGAGGAGAAGGAGATGGAGCTGCGCACGAGGCCGGAGCTCGCGGGGTATCAGGCGGCGCCGCAGATGGCGTATTCGGCGTAGGTTTCGGGGTGGAAGTTCATACGGCTCATTAAGCTTGAACTGGGCATGAGAGAGAGTCCGTTTCTGGGTCCAGTTGGGGGTGTGTCTGTGGTATGGATTAGGTTGGGTTGTGGGCAAGGGATTTATCTGTGTATATGACAGCCGGAAGATGCTGTCACCAGTGGCACGACGCCAGGGGTTTTCTTTTGTTCTATGTATACCCTATTATCTGTGGTGTTTCTAATACCGAACCAGAAATAAAGATTAATCAGTCTATCTTGGAGTGGTAGTCAGTAAGTGATTGGGGAGAACAAGGTACAGAGTTTGTGCTGTGTACAGGCGAAGACCAGAGAGAAGGGGATCAGTACATAGGCAAGGCAGCTGGCCTGCGGCCTCAGGCATGAATCCGAGTGGTCTGAGCGTAGGGCGCCGCTTTGACAGCAGTTTGTCACCGCCCAAATTGAACAGTTTCCCGTTTCAGTTTTTCGGGACTGTGACTGGTGGATTTTCGCGTTGCCGCCGCCGAGGTCGCCGGCGTTCTGCCGGCAGTGGCGGTGAGGAAAGCGGTCGGTGGCTACTGGCCGCCGTGGGGAGCCTGAGGGGCTAGGTGTCGGTGCGGCAGTCGCCGTGTTGATAGTGCCGCAGACCGCTAAGCAATGGACTTCTCGACTCATCCAGCTGAATATGGTTCCACTTTGAAGACTTGAGCCGATGTCTGGTGTCTCTCCTCTGACGGCTCTCCTCTTGAATCTGAGATGGTTCACGAACTCGATTATAGGAAAGAGATGACATGCAAATTGGACAAGTACTGTAGACAGCTATGACCCCACATGGCAAGGCATCCGGATTGCACAGGTATGTGTCGCCACACCCAGGTGTGCAGATTCATTAGAAGAATATTATCAGGATAAGGTATATACAGAGCATTAACGTGTGAGACCGGACACACCAGACAAATGGTTCGATGTCACAAGACAGTCCACTATTTAGGGGGGGGAAGTATTCACGAGAATGGAAAAAGAAAGGAAAGGATCGGATCCTTCAGCGCCAGGCCTCAGTCTCAACGGGATGTGCTTGCTATACCATGCTCTTAAAACTTGACGCAGAGCGGAACAAGCTTGCCAGCGACGGTAGGGACTTGAGACGCTGAGGCCGTGGCAGGGTTTCATGCAGCGACGCCGGGGTGGGGAGATCCGGGCTCGCGCACTGCGAGTAGAATCGGCCGATGTCACCATCAGAGCCGTACTCAGTGGGGGTCGCAGAACTGATCGACCGGGGGATTCCGTCGGTCGAGATCTGAAGATTGCTGCCCATGTACTGGGCTTGGTGTCGCACGGGATATGCGCCGAAACAGGCTCGGGGAACGAGACCCTCCTGGGCAGTTTCAAGGACGTTGACAAGGGCCTGCGGAGAAGATTTCATCAGCATACGTGCGATGGCACATTGTGGAGAAGGGATTGACTCACCCATCCGTCGTCGTAGACGAGATGCAGGACGGCAGTTTGACCCTCTTTCAGCTCGACATGCTCGGGGCTGACAGGCTTGAAGTCCATCTCTACCCGGTACACTCTGGCAAAGGAAATATCGGGCGTGCCGGGATAGGTCCGACTTTCCACAGTTGGGCTTCTTGAAACCATGTCGACAGTGGGGCTCCTTGACACTGAAGGGCTGCTGCTCGCTGATGACGATGACGATGACGATGGCGATGACGATGATGATCCTGATGATTCCGGGGAGATGGGTGTGACAGTCTCCACAGTTGCTACTTTTGCCTCTGGGAACTTGCCCGTCTCCAGTTTGGGCGTGCTTGATACTGCAGCATCCTTTAAGCGACCAACATCACCGACCAATGTTTCCGAAGAACCAGTAGGGCTCTCGATACTTTCAGTTACCTCCACAACAGGGGCGAGCTCGTTTGCGTGGCACGACCTAGGAAGGTCCCGCAAGCCTTGCTGCAGACTGCTGGTGCTATACGTGCTGTATGTGCTATAAGGACGGGGAACGTGGGCCTTGGCCGCCCAGGTCGAATGTACGAACCCGCCAACCTTTTTCAGTGTGGTCACACTTGTCGAGTACACCTGGCGACTGAACTCCTTGATCGGCTCATACTTTGCGTTCTCGAAGTGGCGACGCAGGACAGGAATTTTAGATTGATATGTTGTCTTGATCTTGCCGCCCGCTTGACGCATTGCGCTGGCCCCTTCGGTGTAGACCTTGGATGCGTACCTGACGAACTCGTCACTTGTTCTTGGGCTTTCAGGCACCTTCTCGCCGCGGCTTTTCGCAATGATTTCTCGGAGGCGGCGCTTTTTCCGGCGTAGCGACCACAGAATGAGTCCTGCCATCGCGGCGACGACGATGATGACGCTAAGGCCGATAGCCGCCTTTGTGCCGGCAGGCGTGCCCACATGCTTTGTTGAATTAACCGAGAGGACGGTGCTGGTGGCAGTGGCTTCGCTAGTGGTGGATGAGGGGAGAGATTTCGACGTATTGGTAGCAGTGGGAATCACCGCTGTTGCGAGAGTTGTAGCCCCTACGACCGGAGCGGCGGCGGCAGCCGTTGGGGGCTCGGTGCTGGGAGCTCCAGCACTCCATTGAGCAGTCGGGTCGGTCGTTGCGATTTCTGCGGCTGTTTCGCTTGTTGTCGCGGCATCGCTAGCGGGAGCCGCCCCCGTATCGGCCGTTCCCGCTGCAGTGCTATCCTGTGCAGCGACTGGGGCAGCAGCAGCAGCAGCTTCTGTACCGGCACTGGCTGTTGTAGTACCTGCGGTGGCTTGTGTGGTTGGGTCAGTGGCTGCCGCTGCTGTCCATTGCCCGGTGCTCCCTTGCGCTGTGCCTGCCGCACTGCCATCAGCAGCAGTGGCTCCGGCGGCAGTAGTGCCGTCCGCTGCGGCAACTGGGGCTGTCGCTGCCCATGTACCTGTGCCATCTGAAGTCCCAGCTGCCGTTCCTGCCGCCGTCCCTGCCGCCGTTCCTGCCGCTGTTCCCGCCGCTGTGCCTGCTGCTGTCCCGGCTGCTGTCCCGGCTGCTGTCCCGGCTGCTGTCCCGGCTGTTGACGCATCACCGGCTGCTGCACCACTACCTGCCCACTGTCCAGAGCCGGCAACGGAGGTGTCCGCGGACCATTGGCCAGTGCCATAGGCAGAGGCGCCACCGGCTGACCATGTTGACCCAGAAGCATCGGCCAGTTGAGGTTGCCTCTTAGCAAGGCCGAGGCCATGGGGTCTGTTTCTTAGTCGCATCGTTGGTCCTTAGTATGGGTGTACGAGCATCGACCAAGCATGCAACAATTTTCGATAGTGAAGCTAAAAGTCGGGAAAAGGTTTGGAACTGGACGGCTGTCATTGTAACTAAATAAGTATCAAGCCAGCAGACGCCACAAATCGCTCAACCCATTCAAACCACAACATGCACACTACACAAACAAACTACCACCTTCAGTATCCCACTGTGACAATCCACTAGCGAAGTGGGGTTGTTCTTTGCGTCTTCTATTGTTGTTGCATCCGCCGGCTGTGGAATGTGTTTTCTATAGTCTATCGCATTCTTAGGGTGGACGAAGCGCATTCCGGCGTCAACCCTAACGCTCTTTGGGAGATTACACATTGCCCGGGAGGACAGTCCACCTCATACAGCGTCCTCTTTATTGTTTCTCCGATTTGCCGTCCGCAGCAGCTTCTCGCTGTCTCTCCGCAGCATGCCTGAGCTTGTTGTCTAGTCAACCCTCGGCCTCCACTCTGAGCTTGATGTATTCTTGAGCCTAACACTCGATGCAGATCACTTCCGCTCCATCAAGTTTTTGAAGTCAACGATGACGCTTGCTCTTAACAGTCTTACCTGATAATCCAGGCAGAGGACTCAGTTGCACCCTTACTTCTGACGCTTACTTGGCTCACTTGTCAGAAGCCGTCGTTTCTGTCCTGGCGTGCAGGTACCCGTCCAGGCCTCAGTGAGGGTGCGATGGAATGTAGTGGACATTCCTCCAGACTGAGCCCAGTCTAGCGGTACTTCCTCTGTTGTTGTTTTGTGTTTGTGATATAATGGAGTCAATTAACTTGATTCATGAGTTTGCTCACCATAGAGTCAACAATATGCTTGAAATTACTGTAAACATTAGTAGACAGTAGTAGACACTGAACGCAATACCAAACTTTGATTCCCAAGACTCGTCGTAGTCTCCAGTCCTTGCCATTATCCCACGGTACCCCTACAATGCTTTGTACTATCCCCACCACATCAATATATATTTCACCTCTACACAGACGTCAACCCCTCTCACCGTCCCAACCAACACAGTCTAAAACCGTATTCTCTGGCTATTCAACCCAGAGACTAGGCGTATACTCTATAACAATTCCCAAAACCCCAACCCATCACCCCCAAAAACCACAACAAAGTCCACGAAAACCAGCACCACCTTTCCAACCCTACCCAGAATAATCCCCAGGCACCCAAGGCATCCACCCAAACCCAAACCCAAACCCAAAACCCCTCACTACAAGCAGGTACCAGCTACAAGCTAGCTACCTCCCATCCCCTGAAATTCCACAGCCGGTCTAACATCGTTTCCCCTGCAGCTAACCCGACCAGGTACGATCTAGCCTGTCAGGTAAGGTACGAAGCTACAACCCTCCCAGGTACCATTCATTCTATTTCTTTCACTCGGATAGGTCCCACCCCAGCTCCTCTTTCTCTTTCTTTCTAGATTCAAGGTTTGCCCATCCCCTGAGAAGGTTAGCTCACATACCTCCGCTGCCTAGGAATCCGCACTATAGACTTTAAGTTTTTGGTTGTCGCTACTGGCCTATCAACATGCTGGTGTTGGGGGGGTGGTTTCCATGGTGAGGTAAGTAATTTTGTTACCTTATTTCGGGATGGCTACATATCCACCTGGCAGGTTGTTGGTGATTTTGTCGGTGGGGATGGTGGTGTTGATGTTGTTGATTTTCGGCTTGGTGCTATCTCCTCGAGGGCGGTGTGGGCGTGAGGGTTTGGTTATTGGTGGGAACAGGACGGGACTTGGTGGAGGGTCTCAGGCTAGGAGTATACCTAACTAGTAGTGTTTTGCTTGGGTGGTGGCGGTGGTGGTAGTAGTCATTGTCTTTGTCGGGTGGAGTATGGGTATCCCTAGGTTGTTATTCTTGTTGTTGTGTCTTTTTTCTTGGTTGTCAAGCATTGGAGGAGGGGAGGGAGGGGATTGTCTGGGTCGTTGGAGTGGTAGTGTCCAGCAGTTGGGTGCTTTTTTTTTTGTGGAAGTGGAAGGGAAGTGGGTTGGGAGAGTTGTGGTGGTGAGATATGGTGTGAGCTATTCTTGGTGCTGTTGATGAATGTAGATGTAGAACACAGCAGCATATATATCTCTCTATATTTGTATATTTGTAGACGGATCGCTGTAATGTTGGTGGCGTTCGGGCGTACTCGGTAGTGCCTATTTCTTGACGAGAGATGTGGGTATACTTTATGCGATTATTCTACATATGAGTCTATATGTAGACTATATTGACTAATTGCTATTGTTCTGGTGCTCGACCAGTCTGCTTGTTGGTGAATACTAGGTCGACAATTTACCCGCCGACTCGGTACAATCTGAACAGCAGTCGCCGTGCGGGGATGGAAACAAGGGATGAACCAACCGAACCAACTCCCTCCCAGTCAATTGAGCTACTACATAGTATTTTACATGGGTCAAGTCTCCAGCTCGTACGATGATCTGACCCAACTAATGCATCTGATGCCAGAAATTCAAGTATCTTGCTCACAGGTAAATGCTCATGCACACGCTACTCGCTAAAGAAAACATACAGGATTCACCTACAACAAACCCGAGTCCTCCTACCCACCCTTTCTTCTGCCACAGGCCTTGATTCACCTACCTACCACCCCCGGTTCCTTCCCCCACCGCCCAAACACAACACTCAATCCCCCTCTCCCGCAACTCCCCATCGATATTCCCCACCTCCTGCACGTAGTACGGCTGCCGCGGCAGCTGCAGCGTCCACCGCCGCCGGGGCAGGTGCAGCCCGCGCAGCGGCTCCAGGAACAACGGCAGCTTCTCGACGGGCTCGCCGAACCAGCTGCAGGGCAGCTGCAGCGTGAAGGTCTGGAGGCTGCGCATGCGCGTGACGGCCTGGCACGTCTCGACCCATTGCTGCCGCCCGGCGGCGAAGTAGACCGTCTTGACGGGGTCCTTGCTGGGCAGCCAGTGGCCCGGAAAGGCCCAGCGGAGCTCGACGGCGCGGATCGCGTCCCAGAAGTCCGCGGGGATCGTGGGCCGCAGGTACGTCAGGGACCAGGTGTTGCTGAATTCGAAGGTGTTGAGCGTGTAGAGGGTGTAGATGGATTCGGTGTAGCTGTTTTCCTTTTGTTAATTGTAGGAATTGGGGTTGGGTTTGGGGGATAAGGGATAGAACGCACATCTGCTTACACGTCAACGCCAACGCCAGAAGCCCTGGAGTTGTTGGCCTCCGACTCGCGGCCTTCGTCGCGCTGGGAAGCCCACCCTGGCAGATCTCACATCCCCGGACCACCCCGTCTCGACGGCCCCCGCCACTCGTTTCGGGACACACGACGTGCCCCATTCGTCGATTCGCACGCTGCACGATATGAATGCGCATCCCGCCCTGCACCAGCTCCCAGATCGTCATGCGCAGCTCCGGCGATAGCTTCGCGAGGAGGGAGCTGTCCCGCTGGAATGTCCATTCGCCCCGGGTGTCGGGCTTTGGTTGCTGTTGCGGCTGCGGCTGCGACGCACGTTGACCCTGTTGAGCGCTGCTGGATCGCCGGGTCCGAGGGAGGGCGGTTGGCTTGTTATCTTCAAACATGACAAGCATGAATTAGAACCACAATCCTAAGAATGAGGGTAAGGGGGAGGGCGGCGACGACTCACTCTGATACCGTTGCGCCAGTACATCCTCCCACGAGAAGATCCCCTGCTTGATCCTGGCCATGGTGATCCGCAGAATCTGCGCCCCAGTATAGAAGGTATACTAAGATGATGCTGTACCAAAAGATTGAACGAGCGAGACCGAAAAAAATGCAGCAACAACTGTCAATAGTCCATGATTTCCAATTGATGATGAGCTCGGAAGGTTGATTTATCTGCCTGACGCGCCCAGAAATGCCCAGTAACTTGTATACTGGGGGTGATTTGAGCCACACGATCGATTTTGAAATCACGCGAGATCTTGTTCGACGTACGTGGCTGCGGGGGTAGGTGAGGGGAACTTGGGGAAGAAGGGAGGGATCCGAATGTAAGCGCCAGCGGTTAACCGGAGAGGAGGTTCATCGTGAGAAGGGGGGAAGAAAGAGTCTATGCTGGAACTATACTTGGAGATCTAGCATGAGGGACACCGTTATATATGGAATATGGAAGGGGTGAGGAAGACATATCATCTAGAAGGAAAGTCGGTGAGGTGAGATTCACCTTCCATTTCGTCTAAATACAGTAGAAGGGAGATGGCAGAAAGATAACACGGCGATAAGCAGTCGCTCAGTTCGGCGGATGTCGGATATTGTTTGTTGACTGACCAAGGGAAAAGGGAGATTACAGCCTCGTCGCCTAATCAAAATCCCGCCGGAGAACGAAGCGGAGTAACTCCTGCTGGATTGTCTTCCTTGAATAACTACTCTGTAGCCCACTCCCTACTCATTTTCATTCAATGATCCCTGCCTCGTCAGGCATCTGTCTTATCGCCTTATCTTCTATTGTGATTTCCTTTCCTGGAGCTGCAGATCGTGTCACGCGGCACTTGACTACTTTGTCGCTGGATAGATCACAGCCTCATCTATGGTGAGAGTCATACCATCGTGATGATTATCGTTCTGTTAATTCCAGAAAAGTAACGCCCAAACTCAAATCCCACGCACTATCTCCCTCCGGCTTCTTCTTCGCCTTCATGTTGATCCCCTCCAGCGCGGCCACTCCCAAGACACCGCAGCATGCCACAGCAGTCGCAATATGCCTGTGTCACGGACTTGCTGTACACAGACATGACTGGATCGTACAGCGATGAGGGCCCGGTGCTCCCCAGCCCAGTCGCACCCGCATTGCTGGGACATTGCGACTCGCCCTCATCATCGTTGTGACTTGCGATAGCTTGAGAGTCTTCAGCCGGATCTTGGTAGTTGACTGACCCAGCGAGGCTAGAGAGAGGCCCCTGAGAGCTTTTCATTCATATATGTTCTGATGCTAGCCTGGTCCTGCGTCGTTTGAAGGGCCGGGACTCCATTGGTATTGAGACGAGCTTGTCACTGGCCGGATGGACAGCAGAAGAGACAAACGTGAGAGTACTGTTAGAGGACCTCGAGGCAAAATGCCACAGTCATTGATGACAGTCAGTTTTTTGGGGAATTCAGATGATTGAATCAATCGGCGACGTGATCAGGTTGTGGCACTGATGGCTTCTGGAGACAGCCTTACATCCCAAATTGTGAGATGAGAGTCTGAATATAGACCCGGAGAGACTCGGCCTGCCGTGATAGTCTTTTTACAAATTCTTGACCTTCCTGGCGTGAGTCGTCTATGTAAAGAGCAATCCTGCATAGTACGAGATGGGGGAGAGACGGGGAGACAGAGAAGGTTGAGATGTCCGAACGGACCCAACCGAAGGGGAAAAGCGTCAATGGAGGCTGGAGTTATGGTGGCTCACACTGAATGATCCCCGGGAACTCCATGCCTTAGCGCTCAGGCTAGCCCAAATTGAGGGCCTATTCAGAGGGGCGGCCCGCAGCGCTTATTTCCATGCCCCGGGGTTGTTCGAGATAGCGTACGGACTTATTTGATACTACGGCAGGAACTAAACCAGTTCACTCACTTCGACTCACCATGCACAGCATCCTTCATTTCAAACGGGTTATATCACGGGTTATATCCAACACACTCAGGATTATTGTACTTGACATGGCCGTGGACATTGGACCGCATATACAGAGCACCTGATAGTCTTGGACGTGCAGATATAGAAATGATGCATAGATCAATATTATTTGATGAGCACTTGACGGTAAATTGGACCACGACGACTACTCTAGGCTATTCGTGACGATATTATCAATTGATGACAAACAAGGGAAGTGGGAGTCTACAGCACCGCGAAAGCCGAGACATAGCTCACCGAGCTGTCGTTTACATCCGTGATATCGGCACTTCGCTCGTATCGGACGAAGTGGAATTTGCCCTTCTTGCTCTCATCTTGGCTAGTGATTGCTTCGAGGGCGGCCATGATGACCCCGATGGGGTGACGACCGCACACGGTGTTTCCCGTCCGCTCGACTGCGTCGAGGAAGCTTGCCGCACGTCCCGTGGTGATGGCCGCCATGGTTGCAATGTCGAACGCAGAGATGCTTTCGTGGATGGCGGGCTCGTGGCGCTGGACACGGTCCCGTCGCTGAAGGGAGTGGCCGGTGGATACCGACTCCACCGTTGCCTCTACATCTCTGTGGTTGTTGACTTCAGGCTGGGGGAGCGAGTTGGCCGATAGTGGGAGACTCGGTCCTGGTTTGGGCGCGTGGGGAACGTAGTAGGTGTACCGGAACCGCAACCCCCAGTGACAGAAATCCGAACTGATGACAAAGGCGTTCTCGGGATCCTGCAAATAGGGGGCAAGCAAGGTCCCAAAGGCTTCCTCGGTCGCAGCCGTAGTGCTTCCCACCATGATGGGGACTAGCGGTGGATACTGGGATGTCGGCTTGTTGGGATGTTGGAGTTGAAGAAGACGGTGGATGTAGGGCAGATGGAGCTCGATACTGTGCTCCGCTTCATCGACGGACTCATTCATCGTTGTAAACGAGATGTTCGTTCCATTGCGCTTGACGGCTTTGGTTGATAGGAGCTTCGCGATAAGCTCGGTATCAAGCGGCAGAGGGTCATCGGACAGCGGGGTATAGTATGATGTGAGCTCGGGGAGAGCAAGTGTCGTCAGATAATGATGGTGAGAGGGTCCCAGCACAAAGATCCGTTTTCTGCGATTAGAGTGAGTCGTTGTTGGCATCTGGGGTACTCTTGATTCCTACGCTTTTGACAAGTCCAGGGCTTTATAGGCATGGGCCGCACATGGACCGGAGTATGCATAGCCCGCATGCCTGGGGAATCAGCATGCTGTCAAAAGATGAATAGTCACATTAGCTTGGACATACGGAGCGATAATGATACGAGCGCCAGGCACAGGCAGTGATCCAATACCCGGGATCTCCTTTGGGACCTGAGCCAACCACTGGTCCAACTGGCGCGTCAGGGTATGTTGGCTATCGGAATACCAAGAACCAGCATGGGTGGCTTCGCGAGACGGCATGCTGAGCTGATATTCTTCCTCTGCAAGAGTATAGCAATAAGAAGTTCGATTAAAACTGCAAGTTGACTTTTTGGGCCCTAGACCGAAGCGTGTAGTCGCAAGAGCGTATAAGGGATTGGTAAGTTGCAGGTGTTTTGTCGGTCGGTCAGAGTCTCACAGACAGCTTGATGAAGCAGAAGCGGGGAAGTGGGACTCCCCTCGTCATAGGCACAAAACAGCGGAGTTTGCCTCGCTCAGTATCAACACTTGAGTCTTTCCTCCGCCGGTATGCCGAAGGCGGCATGCCGATCATTCTATACACATTGTAAAACATTTGATCGATTATACACATTGCGAGATCAGTATCGAATGTCCTGATGGAGTCTTAGGTTATTGTAGGTCAGGCATTCCTCAAATGTGATGTGGTAACTACCCCCATATGGTAGGCCTCAAGTAATCCAGGGTAGGAAATCAATACAACCATAGCAATTATGATGGTGAAGCCAGTCGTTGCATGCGCTTTGGCAGTGCTCACTGGAGACGGATCCAAGGCATAGTTAAGTAGATATTGGTACTCTTCTCGGCATAATTCATACGTCTGTCCTGGATTTGAGATTAGAGCACCACCTTTGCATCTGCGCCTTGTTGGAATCACTGCTCCTTTCGGAATTAAACTTGTGAGCTTCCAAGTCGTGCTCACTAAAGTCCTATAAAGGGGGCAATCAATAAATGCTAATCATCAAGTTATTCAGGGTAGTGAAGTATAGATCGAGAAATCAATCGACACAAACTACGGGATTCAGCCAATTTACCCCCAAATAGGAATAGCGCATATTTCATGTAGTGCGACGCGGTCTCGCCTTCATTTTCTCCGCGATCCGACGCGCCGGCGTCTCGACCAACCACGCCCGGAAAGGCTTTCTACCCCAGCCTTGTTCTTCTCCTCAGCCTATATATTAGAAGAGCTGCTCAACCTCGTTCTTCATCTATCCACCAGGTCCATCTTTCACAATTGCTCCCATAACGTTCGTATATATACTATTTCGATCAACATCGCATTGCTCGACCGGACGATATACTATCGACCTTGCAATCGGCAATTGAGACCTCAAGTCATCATCATGTCCCTCAAGCGCAAAGCTTCATTTCCAAGCCTCGAATCACAAAATGCCCCCTTCGGTTCGATTGGGGGTTTCGGAAAGGGGGAGGAACCACCCCAGCATTTGAACAGTCGGACACGAAAGCGTTTCAGGAACGACCGGCCAGAAGAGAAAGTTGTATATGGTAAGGCTTGTTGGTCGCTCTCATCGTCCTGGCATTATACTTACACCTTTCAGAGAACACACTTCGGTGGCTTTTCACAGCCCAACAGCAACAAAGAGCCGCCCCCCTTGCAGATGAGGAAGAACAAATGAATCACGAACCAACACTATCCCCTGAGACGGTCGACCCACGCCAGCAGACGTTACTCAAATTTTTCCGTCCTTGCCAATCATCCTCCAATAAATCGCACACGAACAGCTTCATGCCGAAGACCAGCGAGACTCCGTTCTTTGGTGCGACACCTGTGCACCTTCACAGTATGCCAATCTCGGCTCCGGGACATTTAATGGATAGCGACACATTCAGCCCTCCTTCTCAGACCACGGATACTGATATGGATGTCGACATGGAGTCGGCTAGTGATGAGTCGAACTGCTCATCCAGAGCACCAGCTGGCGGACTCGCCTGGATGGGACACCCTAGGTTCTGAGCGCCAAACGAAGAACCTGATCTCTTCTATGTCGCAATCGACAATCTCTTTTCAATTAGCGATGATACCAAAGCTTACACTTCGTCACACTGGGGTTGACTTACCGGCTGTTGCTGGTCACGTCGGTTCTATTCAGACCCCAACCT